CTTAGAGATAATTGCCTGGGTAGCTATGGAGATATATGTAGTGAATTTTTGGGACAATTTTGTCAAAGTCAAAAAAGTTACCTGATGTGAGCAGACCTGTATGTACCACCCACTTCGGTAACGCATATGTAACGTGTGCGACCGAATATGCACCACCAAAAATGCGCAGTGATATTTGGTTGCATATGTGACTCGAAATTGTCATTTGGTAAACCCGAGTGCAACAAAAGGCGCACACGTATTTTTGCATATATATGCAAAAATCGTGCATATTCTTGAAAATGACAAAAAAGTCGCTTTTGTTTTTGTATATGCAACTTCGTGAGTGTGCGACTCTCTGTCGCTTTTGGTTCTCACCTCATCATGGTGAGTTTTTTTTACTTGTCTCTTTTCCTCTTTTTTTCTATCTTTTTCTTTCCCTCTACGATCATCCTCCTTTTTAACAATTCCCCTTTGGTTTACTCTTCTCTTCATATCAATCCCAACTTTTTACTCCCTCCGATTGACTCGATTAATTTTTTCAACACAAATTCAAAACTTGTCAACTTCAAACAAATCAACTTCAAACAAATCTTTCAACTCAAATCAAATCATAATCATTCAAAATCAAACCTAGACCATAGTCTTATCCAGATTGAATTCTTTTAAATTGCAAGATTATGATTTCATACAAACATCAAATCATGATCCATTCAAATCAAATACAAATCCTTTGGATTACAACTATTACAACTCGCTCCTCTCCTTTTGACTCGGAAGCTTTCAAACCAGAAACTTATTCTTTCAAATTAAAGACCTTGTATTAACCTCGAAGTATCCTTATTGATCAAATGAAGTAATTTAATTTTTTTGGGTTGATTACCAGAAGTCCTTGTGAAATCAGTAGCTCAACTTGTAGCTAAATCTCCGACTGTTTCCCATTTTGGTAAACAACATTCACTACATTGAGTGACAAAGGGTTGTTTGGGAGCATGACCAGAATGTGATGACTGGGGATGTAGCTGAATTTCTCTTATCGGAGAAGTTCTACGGTTCGGCTTTTCAGCAAATTCTTTTGGAAACGGTTTTTATCTCAGATCGGAGACACAAAAACGAGAAAGAAGATTAAGATAATAATTATTCTGATGAAGAGAAAAGCGAACAATTTGGTACAAGAGGTATTATATATATAGTAATAATAAACAAATCCAGGTACCAATGTATATCTCTACAACTTGTTCCTTAATTGAAAATTGTTCCTTAGTTGTTATCTTCATAACCTACTAGCATCTAGCAGTTCATGACAAATTATGACTGCCCATGTACAAGAAATGCAAAAAACCTCCCCAGCTTTCACATACCCACGTCTTGAGTGGCTTGTTTAGGCACACAGGGGTTAGCAACGGGGCGGAAAAAACAAATCAAGCTTTGTCTAGAATAGGACAGAACGGGATGCGTCGAAAGCCGGGTCCACCCGTCGACGAGCACGCAAACGCCAGACTTCCTCAGAAGGGCCTGAACCCAAAGTCGGCCATAACCGGTGGAAGCGTTCGAGATAATGATCCAGATCAAAAGGTAGCTGCGAAAGTGGCGACCAGACAGCATCCAGTTCCGAAGAGGCGTCCATCCTGACCAGATATTCGTGAAAATCAGGAGAGGAGCACCTGTAGTTGAGAATTGTCGCGACCTTCTCTTTGTCCTGAAGTAGCAAGTCGCTCCATCGCGTGGCCTGGTTGGGCAGAACTTTTGCCAAATCCCCTACAAAAGGCATCAACAAAGAGACGTTAAAGACAGGATGCAGGCGACCCAAGGAAGCAGGTAAATCCAACTCAGCAGCATTGTTCCCCACCATACGCAAGACCGCAAAGGGACCTAACCGCCGAACATCCAGTTTGTTATTCGCCCGCTTAGTCTTCAAATTTCGACGTGACAACCAAACCAGATCCCCAGGTTGATATGTAGCCACAACACGTCGTTCCTTGTTATAGAACTTCGCTTGTGTCGATTTTGCTTGTACTAGGTTGTCACGGAGCTTCTCTTGTATAAGCTGAATGTGTTTGACAAAGTCGTCCGCTGCAGGTCGACCCGAAGAATGCGTGAATGAATTAAACCGAGGGTGGTAACCTAACAAAGCAAAGAACGGTGTCATTTTTGTTGAGGAGGAGACAGAATTATTGTAAGAGAACTCAGCCAGAGCCAAAAGTCAACACCAATCCTGCTGATCCTCCGCCACGAAATGACGCAAATAATCTTCCAATAGGGCATTTGTTCGTTCAACCTGACCATCCGTTTGGGGGTGGAAGGCGGTAGAAGGAGCAGGTTTGACGGATAGCAAACGTAGGACATGCGTCCAAAATGCCGAAACCAGAGTTGTTCCCCTATCAGAAACTACCACATCCGGTAAACCATGAAAACGGAAAACATTGTCAATAAAAGCATTAGCCAACTCATCCGATTTCCATGACTCCTTGGCAGGAATAAAATGTGCAGCCTTTGACAAGTGGTCGACAACAACCATTACGGAATCAAAACCGTGAGAAACCGGCAGTTTCACGATAAAATCAATACCTATGGTTGACCAGGGACGCTCCGGGACTGGTAATGGTGTCAATTTTCCTTGCAGGGGACGCTGGTCAACTTTAACCTGTTGACAACTAGCACAATTGCGAATGAAATCCAAAATGTCACGCCTCATGTTTGGCCAACCAAAGGAGCGGGAAATAAGATCGTAAGTTTTCAACGTTCCCCAATGGCCACCTGTTACTGAATCATGACAAAGTGAAAAAATCTCATCACGAAATCGCGAAGGAACGTAGACGTGGTCCCTCCACCACCAAACATTATCCACACAACACAAGAAAGCCGGATGGATGCCGATTATCAACTCGTCGTCTCTGTATGCAGTAGAAAATTGACGCATTAGTGAATCTTCAACAGGCATAAATGACGAGATATCAAAACGACCCGCGTTTGCCACACTGATAGCTTGGACACCAATATTCTTGACTTCGCGTGAGCCTAAAAGAATGACACGAGAACTGTCTTCCTTGCCACAAACAAAATCTGAACGGCGGGAAGCCGGATCCGCAGGATTCGTTTTCCCTGGCGTATGTAAGATTTCAAAGTTGAATTCGCCTAAAAATGAAGCCCAACGCGCTTGTCGTGGTGTCAGGAGCTGCGCAGTCATGAAGTAACGAAGATTAGCGTGGTCTGATAAGACTGTGACAGGAAAAGTTGTGCCCATAAGCCACGCTCTCCACTCATGGAAGCAAGCGACAATAGCACCGAGTTCCTGATTGTGTATTTGCCAGCAACGTTCTGCTTCTGTGAGCTTCTTCGAAAAATATGCTACAGGCCGTAATTGTCCTTCAGGTGATTTCTGCAATAATATACCAGAGTAAGCATATCCCGAAGCGTCAACTTGTAGTACGCGAGGCAGAGTAAAATCAAAGTGCAAAAGGAAGGGAGCGGAAGAAAATAAACGACACAGCCTATTGAAGGAATCTACTGCTGTTTTATCCTTTAAACCGTTGACAACGTCCGCAGTCTTCGCCGTTAAAGTTGTAAGAGGTGCCACAACTTCGGAAAAATCAGCTATAAAGCGGCGGTAAAAGTTTGAGAACCCCAAGAAACGCTGTAAGTCGTTTAAAGTCAATGGGTAAGGCCAATCGGCGATAGTCTTCAACTTTGATGGATCTATGCTGATGCCTTCCGTCGAAATGACAAAACCTAAAAAAACAACCTCTTTAGCAAAGAATTCACATTTTCCTGGTGAAGCGGTCAGCTTGTGTTCCGATAATTTTGCCAGGATCTTCTCGATATGACTTTCATGATCTTCTGCGGTTTTCGAAAAAATCAAGATATCATCAAGATACACAAAGCAAAAAACATCCAAATATTCTCGTAATACCCATTGGATAAAACATTGAAATACTGCAGGAGCGTTAGCAAGTCCAAAAGGCATAACAGTATATTCAAACAGTCCCCAAGGAGTGCGGAAAGCTGTTTTCCACTCATCGCCTTCGGCAACTCTTAATAAATTAAAGGCAGCCTTCAGGTCAATTTTAGCGAAAAACTTACAACCACGCAACTGGTTCAAAATCCATGACATTACTGGAATGGGGTAGCTATCACGCTTGGTGATCTTATTCAAACCTCGATAATCCACGCAAGGCCTATTCTTTTTACCTGGAACTTTGACAAAGAAAATTGGGGCTGCGGCAGAGGATTTGGAAGGTTGAACAAACCCTTTACTTAACTGCTCGTTCAGGTAAGTCTTCAACTCAGCTTGCTCATCAGGGGACAAATTGTAGAGTCCTCTGAATGGAGGTTCACAGCCTGGTTTTATTTCAATTGCAATGTCAAACGGTCTGTGGGGGGGTAAAACAGATTCCTGCGGAGAAAAAACATGTAAGTACTTCAAACAACTTTTGGGTAGATTTGAAAGAAAAGACTTGTCAGGGGTAATGGAAATGATTTGATTCGTGGAGGGTTCAATGGGAATGGTGGAAGGTGTCTTGATGGTCGCCGTTGGAATGGACTTGAGAGGAGAGACAGTAGTAGTTTCATACTTACAAGAAACTACTGATATATCTACCACTTTGTCATTCACTATGACTGTAGACACCATACTACCACCTATCTCTAACCATCTACCCGACTTGTTCATCATCAATGACACTCCATGTTCCTCCATCCAAGGCAAACCCAAAATAACATCGTGACCTCCGCTCAATTTCGTCACACCTAAAGTCGCCATAACATCTTCTTCCTTTCCTTCAACATCAATCAATTTCAAACAACCGGTCCACTCTCTCATAACCGTCACTCCTGAAACACCATTAAAACCAAAAAGTTTTTGAGGAGCTTTCTTCGCCTTCAATTCGACTTGATTCAATTCCGCAAATCCAACATCCATAAAACTGTCCATCGCACCCGTATCAACCAAAGCCATAACATTTATTGGAAGGTCATCTGAAATCAATCGTAAAGGAATCAAAAATTGACGATGTTTAGTCGTGTCAGCTTGAATCCTGATAGAATCCAAATGAACATTTTGATCTACCAAATCATTGCTTGTGCTTTCATAATCAGGTGTGTGCAAAGTCGACCAAAACGATTCCAGCAATTGAGTAGTTTCTTCTTTAATCGTGTTTGGCAAAGCTTCATAATCCGATAATTCCAATTGAACTGCAGAAATTTGAGTTGGAACAGAGGATGAACGTACACCTGGACAATTGTTGGACACCGATTCACGTAACATCTTCAACTTGTCTTCAATGCGTGCAGACTGATTTGGACAGGATCGTTTACCATTAGTCAATTGTAAACGTTTATGTTCATCGTCATACGGCTTGAGACAATCAAAACACAAGTTCTTCGAGATGCAAATTCGTCGAATCGCTGGAAAAGGATTGGAACCATCTTGATCAGTTGAGACAGCGTTAACGTCAATATCCATCGGAGTTGGACCATTACGACTTGACGAGGGTAAAGAATGATGGGCAGGACGTTGTGAAGCTTGATGACTGGCGTGAGGGTGTCGGTAGATTTCACCTTGCGATCGAAGTTGGGGAAAAGTCTGTGTCACTATCGATCTTAAATCCAAAATGTCAGCGGCTCTTACTGCCATGTCTTGAACACGAAGGAGATTTGTTTCGTTAACCCAACCTTCAACACGAGTCTCTTCTAGTTGAATGCTGGGATGTAAACCTTCAATGTATTGAATGATTTTATCTTCTTCTAATTTTTTCACATGGAGAGATAATTGTTTGAATCTTGAATTATAGTCGATTATTGATCCTTTGCCTTGTTTGCAAGCACTAAGTTGATCTCTTGCAGTCTTCTCAGCATGTTTGTCACCAAATTTAGGATCCCGGTATCCTCACCACCCCCCCCTAGTAACTCCACCACCCCCTCCCGTTCACAGCTAGTGAAAGGCTTAGTTGCTGCTGACACAAGTCGTGACAGTGCTAGCTTGAACCGCGCTCTCAGCACTCACTGAGAATTTTCTTTGATTGTTTCCCTAACAAAACATCATATAGGTACAATAATTGAAGGATCCTTCAAGTGTTGCGCGAAACAAACAAACAATATGAATCAAGATCGCTCCGACCGATCGAATTTGAATCAATCGGAGCGATTGGAAAACAATTCTGAGAAACAATCAATCAGACCGATTGAATTGATCGTGTCGAGTGCCTTATATGTTTCCCTTTTTTTGGGTTAGTGTGGTTAAGCATTTGAAAGACCAGATAAAAAACACATGATGTCAGGAGAACCGATTGAATTGATCACATTGTGTTCTTGTGCTCAATCCACTCGGTTCTCAACCCTTTTGAGCAAGTGTGATTGCTCGGGTAAATTCCGTAGCTTATTGTGTAGCTGGACAAAGTTTGATATCTTTGATGACTCGATTACAAGATTCATTACCAAAGACAAAGGAGTGTGGTGTCAAAATGAATGACGAGAGCCAACAAGGCAATGATCTTGTAGAGCTACAGAGACAGACAAGGAGAGAGAGAAGGACAATTCAGATCCATGTATGTATTTGGTGGATCTTATAGTGTTTGTCCTAGGATGTGTTGAGCATTGTACGACTAGACCACTCCATGCTCGACTGTGGCCGGATCTGCTGATTCTACTGGGATAGGACAAGTTCTTTTGTTGTGACCTGTCTTGTGGCATTGGCTACATCGAGGACCGTTTTGTTCAGCTTCCTGATGCTCATGACGACAAAGATCGCGCTTGGTCTTGTTCGAAGATCCTGTAGGCCGACCACGAGATCGAATCGGAGCTGGATCACCAATGGTGGGAGTTGGACTGACAAGAATCCGGCTTAACTGACTCCACAACACGCTCTGTTGATGGGCGGGGAGAGTGTTATGTTGTGCTCGTACGAGGTTGAGTAGCGAGTCAAAGTTAGGTGGTTGGTTGTGTATAACTGGGTCAACTAAAGGCGGTTCTAGATGCCAATGAGGGTCGAAGTGGTTCACAGCCAATTTCCTCAAAGATAACATGAGATGCTTCAGGAAGTGGGCACAGGGCAATCCTTTTGATCCCGAAAGTACGTAGGTGCAGTTGTTGGTGTCATCTAAAGAAAGGGCTTTTTGATACTGCTTGTAGGTCTATTTGTGATTTGGGTTTAGAATGTTTCATAATGAATCAGGAAAGGAATTGTTGGGAGGAAACTAGACAAGAAATTACCTCTAGTAGTGCGTAGTGCGAGATTTTTCTGTTGACATCAGTCCAGATTTGAGGACGAAGTCGAGATAAAGTATGAGTTCGATCAAAGGCTATACGGTGTTCTATCCTATCTCTTTGCTGTTGACAAACAAATTCCAGCTTGGTGTATACAGTTGCAAGATCACCAGTTGATGTCCAGATCCAGCCTTTGATACCAGCATGACCACCTTCAATCCGAGAGGTGACGGTGTGACCAAAATGTTTTATATCCTTTGTCCAAGCAGTTACAAACTTTTCCTTGTGAATCACCCACGTACTCTTGATGTAATTGAAAGAAGTCTCGCCAATATCAGTTCGAAGAGCCTCAAAGCGTGCTTCGAAGTCTTCGGGAGAGATCGAGTTGCAAATTTCCTGCCAGCTGCTTTGAAACGCTTTCCATTGCTCGTCTGTTAATTTCATCTTGATGTTAGCTTGAATATTTTTCTCGATATGCCATTTGCAGAGTAGATTCTTGGTGTGTGGCAGAGTTTCCTTCAGAGCGTTCATCAAGGCGAGCTCTCTATCAGTCACAACAGCCTGCAGATTTGAAAGCTTGGACCCAAAGCACAGCTTCATCTGCTCCAAAACCCATCGATAGTCGGCTTCAGTTTCTTGTCGCATTAGACCAAAGCATAGAGAGATAGACTGATGTGTTGGTGAAACTCCCATCACGTGGAGGAGTGGCATTTGAAACCTAAGACAACCAAACCACAAAAATCAGTCAGTCTCAACTCTGATTAAACTTGATTGCTGTGAAAGATCTCACCGATTGGTTTTGTAAGTTGAATCCATCAGTAGCACATCAGATGTCCAGAAGTCCGAAGCCGACTTCACACTAGCTTTGGGGGCAACAAACAGACGTAGGAGTCGGTGATTAGAATCCAGTTCATAGGTATGGAACACATCATTTGCCTTGAGGTTGTCTATCAAAGCTTCAAGTGGAGTGCGTCCATTGAGATCCAAAAGTTTTTGTTTCTTGATCATGTTGTAGATGTCCTGGCTGGTTGACAAGTTAGTGGGATCGGATGCCTTCAAGGTGCGTAGAATGAGTCGTGGAGGAACACCTGCATTTGCAAGGTTAATAACAAAGTTGTGCTGTTCTGGTGCAAGTTTACGTGAAGCTGGTATCTCAGCAAGGTTTGTAGAAGGTTCATGATTGTTGTGCTGATCATTTTTAAATTCAATCTTCCACTGATGAGTGATTTCCACATGTCGAATTGTAGCAGACCAATTGCATCCCAGAAGTTGAGTTGAGGTGGATCGAACTGCACTGACGACTTGCTGAGGTGTTCTGCCATGAGAACAGGCAAAGACTCGTTTCTTTTGTCTCTTATGTTTATCAGAACAGGTGCGGGTGATTTTCAACCAGTAGCCTGATCCTTTGGCATAGTTCCGCAGTGCATCTTCAGCTTCTTGTAAGGATGGGTATATAACTTCGCCAAAATCCATTTTTGAGGTGTGGTGTGTTGTTAGATGATGACAAGAGTTTTTGAGTTGTGAGCTGTGGAGTTGGATGATATGGAGCTGGGAAAAAGTTGGATAGAGCTGAAGCTTTTTGGGTGAACTTCAAAAATTACAAAGATGGGAGCGTGGTTCAATCTGGCACTGTCACGACATGTGTCACCAGGCACTAAGCCTTTCACTAGCTGTGAATGGGAGGGGGGTGGTGGGGTTACTAGGGGGGGGGGTGGGGATACCGGGATCCCAAATTTAAACCATAATTCTCCTAAGAACGCATCCAGACTTGCTAAAACTGGTAATTGATAAGGGATACTCTTCAAATTTCCAATCATGTTGAAAATTCCTTGAGAATGAGCATTGCGTTCTAAAAGACCTATAAACCAGATTTGAGTGCTTGAAGGTGTCGAGTTCAAAGAAGTAAAATGTCTTGCTATCCAGTTTATTTTCTGAGTGTCGAATGGATCATTTGGGAATCTGATTAAATCAAGTTCTTCATGTATTTCCAACATAAACTGTTTCAAACACTTGCTGTTGCCAAAAAATCTTAAGTTATCACGAATTTTTGGAGGTCTGAAATCCACAATACCTTCAGTTTCTCTTTGTGATTCTCGTCTAAAGGTAGTTGGCTGAGGAATTGGTGAATTGTGACGAAAAAATTGTGGCTGAGTTTGAAATGAAGATTGTTGAGGCTGAAAGAACGGTTGTTGAAAAGTTGGTTGTGTCGGATGGAAAGATTGAGAAGTTTGATCAAATTGCGGTGGTGGAACAGGATTGAATTGCGGTGGTGGAACAGGATTGAAAGAACTTCGAGGAGGCACAGGAACAAAATGAGGGTTTTGAGAAGCGAATTGTGGTTGTACGAAAGGATTTGGTGGCGGAGGAAAGAACTGCGAGTTGGGTGGAGGTGGTTGACCTTGAGGTACTTGAGGTACTGTGTGAAACTGTGGCTGTGGGGGCGCAGGATGAAATTGTGGTTGCTGAGGCACAGGATGAAATTGAGGAGGGGGTACTTGAGGATGAGTTGGCATTTGATTTGGAATTCGAACATGAGGTGGAATTCGATTTGCATCTGTTTGACGAAATGTTGAGTTCTGAACATCTGGATAAGATACATTTAGGGTATT